TGTAAAGGGCAGGGGGAGCCACTGGCCGTGAGGCAGCCCCACAGGGAAAAGCGCCCTATTCCCCACACACGACCTGCTCCACTGCGTTTCCCACAGCGGGAGAGAGGAGCCCCTTCCCACCAGCACCTTCACCTGCGGGTAATCTGCAGCTGCAGCTCGGAGCGACCTGCTGCTGCTGACCGCCTTTCAAACCCGCGGTCTACCCCCTGCGTTTGCGCACTGTTTGCCTGGTCGTGTCACGGGCAACGCTACCCGGAAAATCTGCAAAATCTGCTGTAGGGGCTTGTTCAGGGGAAGGCTTCGTTGGCTTCCTTTCTATCGTTTTGACTCCAAGATCTCGGGTTAAAAAAAAAGTCAGGAGTGGTGCAGGAATTTAAGGCCACAGACACACAAATGGGTATTCTGGGAAAACCTCGGCTGACTTACGGAAGAGGAAAAAGATCTGTGACGAAGAGAAGCTCTCCTCAAACCAACATAAATCTGGAGATCAAGCCTTCATTTCCGCTAAGAGCAATTTTTTCCCTGTGTCCCGGCAATTTCCTCCCAGGTCGGAGCTGCTCGGCGGCTGGCAGCGGCCCCGAGTCACCGCTTAGGGTTGCCTGGGGCTGCCTGGCTCCACTCCCACGGCAGCAGCCTGAGCCTGAGTCACCTCCAGGGACACAGGCACACCTCGAACGAGCTCCCTCGGCTGCCACGTGAGCTCCGTGCCCCATACTGCGGCCCTTAGCGCTAGCCATCAACGGGCATATGCCATTGCTGAAGTTCACGCAAGCCTTCAGTAGCTAACACACATGTTCTCCGGTTACAAAAGCTGTCTCCATTCGAGCACCAGCCCAGACGCCTCTCGCCACAAAGTTTGCAGCCTGTTTTCCACCAGCTCGCCAGAAGAAAACTTCCTGGGCTGCCTCATCTAACTGACGTCCAAAGGATCCCAGCAGATATCTCCAGAAATCTGGGTGCCAGCTTTGAGCACAGGCCCGGCCAGCGTGGGCACAGCTGCTGCGGTGCAACTTGCAGTGTGGGAGCGCTCAGACAAAACGGAGAGAAATAGCTCAAGCACAGATAATACCAGCTAAGTCTGCAGGTTAAACATACGTCTAGGTACTTGCAGAAAATGCAGCTGCTTGTGTTTGAGTGAGAGCTTAAACTTCATAGGGAGTTTATGAGCTCCTCTTTATAGGACTAAGTGGCTGAATTTTTCTGAACAGAGATCTAAATACAGCCCAGTCACCATCTATGGCTAAATTCACAGCTCCAGTCAGAGGTCGGCACAGGCTGGGATTTGAGTTAATGGCTCAGCCCATTGGCACATCAGTGTTGAAAGCAAACAACTCATTTGAGCCCTCACGTTGGAGCAGAGCACTTTGCATTTCACAGTCAGGGAGCTCAACAGAGGGGCTGATTTAGCAAGACCATGGCTAAGACCGTGCTGCAGTTTCATTGATGCCCTCAGCTCAGCCAGGCTCTCAGAAGAGCAGCCCATGCCCAGGCCGGGCGCCCGGGTCCGACGGCGAGGGCTGGCAGGGCTGCAACGCTGCTGGCGGTCGGGCAGGCAGCGAAATGCAGACGGGAGAGGAGGGGGGCTTGAAGGAGCCGTTTCCCCGGCCAGCTTGCACCACGCACATAAACGCTGTGACGTGATGCAGGCATAGCTGTATCAGTCTGGAGACTGGATGGAGAAAGGGGAAAGGGAGTATTTGCAGAAACAAGGTATGGCTAGATTTAACAAAGAGACACGCACGTCACAGGAGCTGAACTGAGACTCCTTGGTCTTCCTGCAATAGCGTGAAAAGGGCTCAGTTCCCATTCGCCACCTTCCAGCCTGCTGAGGTACAAAGCTCCAGGCTAAAAAACCAGCCAGCACACTTGACTCATTTTGGGCAGAAGCAGCAGTTTCACCGGGCTCCTTCCCAGAAGCCCCGCGGGGCCAGAAGGATGTCTCGATGTGTCACTGGTTTCGCTACGAGCCTGCTCCGTGCGTGTGTGCGTTCCCAAGTTTGGTTACAAAGCGTTCCCTGCCGCAGGCACCCAGTGGCCTCACCTTTATCCCCTCGATCCTGAACCCCAGCGTGGCCGTGGAGCTAATGGTCTCCCTCCACTGCATGTACCGGGGCTTGGTCACTGCCCGCAGCACGTTCTCCTCCTCGGTCGGGGCCTCGGGGTCCACCTCGATCATCTTCTGGTACATGTCCTTCCGCAGGCTTGGCTTCTTCCTGGCCTTTATCAGCTCCTCCTCCAAGTAGGTCCTGCAAAGGGCAAGGAGAGGCGCTCAACATGGGCATGGGAGCCGCAGCGGACCCCAGTGCCATGAGCCGCCCTACAGCCGGATCCCAGGTTGCTCCCACCTGGCCGTGTCCTCAGCCCCAGGTGAGCCAGAGCCTCCCTCTGGGACAGGCCTCGTCCCAGAAACCAAGGCGATTGGGGGTAAGGGTCGCGCGGGGGGGGGGGGGGGGTGCATGAAACAACGGAGCAAGCCTGCATGCAGATTAATTGATCCTGCTCCAATTAGCGCTCTCCCATCAACACCTCATATCCACTCAGTTTATCAAGCGAAACCAGTTTGGCAATAACAGGCGAGGTTAGCTCTCCCGAGTGTCCGCAGCACCGCTGCTGCACCAGCACCCACCGCCTTCTTAGCACTGAAAATCGAGGCCCCCGCCCAGCCCGGGGGTCTGCAGGGGGGCCTGGCCCTGCCCGGGCCAGAGAGAGGAGAGGGCACCCGTCATCCTCGCTGCCAGGAGGGGAGCAAACCCCCGGGGTCGGGGCGAGGGGGGCCTCCCACCCAGCCCATCTCTGCTGTGACCTTTAAAGCGTCCCGGGGGGGGGGGGGGGGGTGCATGAAACAACGGAGCAAGCCTGCATGCAGATTAATTGATCCTGCTCCAATTAGCGCTCTCCCATCAACACCTCATATCCACTCAGTTTATCAAGCGAAACCAGTTTGGCAATAACAGGCGAGGTTAGCTCTCCCGAGTGTCCGCAGCACCGCTGCTGCACCAGCACCCACCGCCTTCTTAGCACTGAAAATCGAGGCCCCCGCCCAGCCCGGGGGTCTGCAGGGGGGCCTGGCCCTGCCCGGGCCAGAGAGAGGAGAGGGCACCCGTCATCCTCGCTGCCAGGAGGGGAGCAAACCCCCGGGGTCGGGGCGAGGGAGGCCTCCCACCCAGCCCATCTCTGCTGTGACCTTTAAAGTAAAACAGGCCAGAGCAACGTCACACCGGCACAGCTTATGTCCACACGGGCAAGCGACCAGCTCAGCTTCCCCGCAGCGAGGTGCAGGCAGGTCACTCCAGGCTGCTCTTTGACGTCTTTCAACGCTCAGCAAACCTGAACAACGACTTATTCTCACAAACTAAATGAAGCTTTCAAAACGCACCCAGACGACTGTCCGCGTGCTATGGAAACTGGCTGGATTCAAGATGAGAGAGAAGTGGCCAACCCTCGGCCACCAGCAGCGTCCGTCGTTCCCTCCGAGGACCAGCCAAAGCCGCTCCTGTGCTTTACGTGCGCTTTCCTGCCATGCTCGGCCGCAAGCACCGCCACTCATGCTACTAAACAGCATCTTTGCACAGAGAGCTGCTTTGCTGCTGCTTATTTTGCCCGGTATGGGTCTGTTTTAACTGGACTATCTAGAAGGCCAAAGCTTCCTGAAAAGGATGGATTGGACATAGGGATGCAGCTTTGAACGGGGGTTTGCAGTCACCCGCTGGGATCCCGGGGTGCAGTCGGGACAGGGAGATGGGAGAAGGAGAAGGAAGGGAGCAGCGGGAGCGTGCCAGCCTGCCCCTTCGCAGCCCCGCGCCAGGCCTGGTCCTGCTCGGCCCGCGGAAAAGCAACCTCCCAAGGAAACGCAGCCCTGACCTGCCTGGCAAGCTAAACACGGTCAGCTGAGGAAGAGCCTCTGTTGAGCGTGGCTCCTCCAGGCACCTTCCCAGGGGACCCACTGCCAGCCGACCGCCTGGCAGAGAGCTGCCTGCCCCCACGGGGCGACCCGTCCTGCTCCGCTTGCCGACCCTCTCACCAGAGAGCTTGGTCACAGAAACAGCTTTCATCTTCCCATGCAAGCAACAGGAGGTACCTATTCAATGTTTCCTGACCCAGAAATAAGCTTCTCTGGAGAAAGATTGACAGACCACGGAGCAGCTTGCAAACCTGAAACGTAAGGGGCCTGTGCTCCTTCCCTGGGTCAGCTCTGAGAGCTCAGAGCAGCAGGCAGCCGCTGTCGGCAGACCTGCAGCGGGGACTGGGAGGGGATGGGCAGCCAGAGCAGAGTGTTGCCGCACAGGGACCGCAGGGCTTTTACGGTTACATAGGGCTTGAACCTCAATTTTGTGCTTCCTTCGGAGGAGCACCACTGTGTGCCAGGGCACACCAGCAGCGAACTGAGTGCAGAAAATCATTACCCACTAGATGATACCTCCTGCAGCAATCATCATCCACTAAACAATAATTCTTGCAGCTCACCATCCTGCCCCAGCTCAGCCCTTCAGGTGCCCAGGTCCTCTCCGAACAACCTAGCGAGGCAGGAGCAACGTCCCAGCAGCATGAGGTGCAAAGGACCCTATCTGCCACCTCCTGCCCCCTGCAAATCCAAACTATTCTTTGCTTCCCATTAGCCGTGCCAGCTCTGCAGGTGGGCTGTTCCCTCCGAGTTCGGAGCTGGCAGGGGCAGAGGGGTCCCTCGCCAAGGCTGGCTGGGAGCCCACAGCTTCCTGCTTTTGACTGGTGTCCTCCTGCGCTTGAGGGAGGCAGGCAGGTTGCTGCCTTCTTCAAAGCTGCTGTGCCGTGCTGGAGGACCCCAACGGGAACAAGGAGCGGTCCCTCTCTGCCAACAGCACATCACTTTCCCAGCACACGGAAAGTCTGCAAGCAGAGAAGGAAAGACGCTGGCATGTCCTTCCCAAACCCAGCTTTCCTTGTGTCCTTCTTCTCACACCATTAGCTTAGATTTCCTTGAAGGTATCTGCAATGCTCAGGAGAGCCTGGCACTTGTATGCTTCAGAGCCCTACGTGGAAAATACGTTTGCTTTGAGTGTCAGATCTTAAAATTCAAATACTGCCCCAAAAGACACTAACCTGACCCCCATTTTGCAGTCCATAACGCAGGGGGAGTCAAATTCAGCCAGCAAATCTTCCATCTGGTTGTATCGCTCCCCATCCTTCACGACGTCCCCGTGGTAGGCAGGGACATAGGGCTTCAGGACATCGTTCATCAGGCGGTCCAGGCAGCGCTGCTCCGACTCACAGTGCTTCTTCAGGATCCTGCCGTTGGCCGCTGCCTTGAAACTACCTGAGGGCGACAAGGGACAACACGGCACTCGCTTTGGATGCGGAGCGACATGGCGCCTTTCCAAACGAAGATGGGCAGACCGCCACTGTGTAAGCACCTGCTGGTTACACCTGCATCCAAAGCAGTCCCCACTGACTGGGACTTGGGTGCTGAAACAGGCTTCTGCTGCCGGATACACACAGTATCAGAGGTTTATGACCGGCAATGTCACACCTTAAACAAGGACTCAGGGTATAGCTGCCTTAGCAATCCCCACCAGGGCCTAATCCCAGTAAATCATACATCCCCATCCGAGGCTGTGACGGGCAGCTCCTACAGAGCACCCAACACATCAGCTTCACTTCCGCTGCGTACTTAACAGCAGGTCCGCACCCCGTGGCCGCCTCTCTATCCGCATGCCAAGTGAGGGGGGTTTCTCAGAGCTGGATGGTGCTGCGCACTTCCCTGTGGATCAGCAAGAGGGCTTGCATTTCCCCAGGGCACCGCAGCTTTCTGCTGCTGGAGAGAAGAGTGTGGCGCTGGCGGCAGCAGCAGCAAGACCCACAGCTCTGGGGACTGAAAGCACGTGGCGCTGCACCGGTGCTTTACACCACCTAGCGCCTAGGTAATCGCTCTCCTGCCTCATGTTTCCCTGGAGACGTGAAAGCTTAAATCTGAGAAGCTCATTCAGAGTTCAGAAGCAAATCAGGCCAATACAGCTCGTTAGCCTAACGTAACGAAGAGGATTTCCACTGCTCTGCCCCACAGTGGCTCTCGTGCCCACGGGTGAGCTGCAAGGGGGTCGGGGTGTTCCCTTTAACTCTCGATGCTCCATACCTGCATGTCCTGCTAGCTGGATCCAAGGGTATTTCTTCTTGAAGGACATCACAAATGGGGACCAGTGCACCATATTCTTGATCTTCCGCCATGACTTGCTCTAAGGAAAAAAAAATCATGAAGGTGAATGCAATCTATTAAGCTTTTACTGTACATAAAGTCACTTGAGGGAGCACAGGCATGTTTTGGACAGGGGAGGAGACACCAGAGCCAGCACAGGATGGAAGGCAAACAGAGAATCTGCTCTTTTCCCATTGCCCTATGCCACGCTGGAGTCACTGGGCCTTGATTCCAAACTCAAAAAATCACGAGTAACTTCACTGAAGTGGATGGTGTTACAGCTTTGTTCCAGTTGGCTGCTTCTGATGAAGAGGGCCCAGCCACCTCAATTACCTTGTCTCCACTCCCCCACGTTCTTCTGCAGGAGCGGTCAGGACATTAACCTGTTTTAGGGTATGCACTGCTGCGTTAGATTATAGCACACTCAGCAGGCAAGGGAACCTAGGATTTCTAGCGGGCCACAAAACTGCACTCCAGATCCAGCAGGTCAGAAGAGACACTCACGTAAGCACAGATATGCTCACCAACTTTTGTTCCCTGCTGAAAAGCAGCTGTTTTGTTCATTAAGTTTTCAATCCATGTGTGTCTGATTTGCTTGCTTTGGCTGATCAGTAACTATATTTTAGAGAACAATTCACTTCTGACATGTTGTATTTCTTGCCAGATGGACTGCACAAAAGTATTTACGTTACTTTAACAAGGGCTGCAGACGTACATACGAAAGCCTTGTTGAAGCGCGCACGCTTTCCTGAAAGAGGCTTTTCCCTAGATTGTTCGGGGGAACATGCCGCTAATAAAAGGCAGAGGCACTTCTTATCTCGGCACCAGAAGGCGAACGTGCAAACAACCCGGGCGAACAATACACAACAGCGACAGTGGGAAAATGCCTACTTGCAGAAGATGAGACAAACAGTTAGTTTTGTCCTGGCCGCTGGGAGCCGCTGAGTTCAGCCGGAAGCCCACATATAAATTATCCTCCTTTGCTCCACTTCTAAGGCATGTGAGCAAGCCTTGCACAAAGCCCAAGTAATATCTTCCTCCTGTGCGGAGAGCCGGCTCCTGCTCTCTAATCCTTTGTAGACAGACGGGGAAGGGCCAGCAGCCCCGACCGGCAGTTTGGATGCCGCTCTTGGGGGAACCCTCGGTGCCCGAATCTCCGATGGGAACTGTTGACAAATTTGAATGGGTGGAAAGAAGACAGACAAAGGTGCCAGGGCGGCCTGTCCTCCAGAGGACTGCTGAGGCTGAGAGTGTCCCAGAGCTCCCTGGCACCTTTGCAGAGTGGCAGGAGCCAGGCAATGGGGTGCCCAAGCGAGAGGGGACACAGGGCATCCCCGTCGCCCAGGCTCCTCCGCGCGGGTTCGCTCTGTAACCCGGCCTGCTTGCTTTGGCAGCAGGGGCTGGGGATGTAGAAGGCAGTTCCCTACCTGACATGAGGATGAATGTTTTTATTTCCAAACAGAGTGCCAGAACTTGTGCACTTTAGCTGTTCTTTGTTCTCCTTTTGGCAGAGAGCAGGACGAAGCGGGGAGGAGGGGGGGCATCCCCTCCTTTTGTTTTTAAAATAGTAACGTCAAGTTCTGACTGATGTCATTAAAAAGGAGGGAAGAAAAAGTCTCCGAGGCACTTTGGCCTCCAAACGAATGTGACCCACCATGTTTAAAATAAGGAGAAGGATTCCCCCCCGCCAGCACAGCATCGTAAGTCACTCAGGCCCTGGAAGCAAGCCAAGGCAACGCGGGGTGCCAAGCCAAGATCTTGTTTTTCGATGCTTAGAGTTTTATACCTAAAACCTTGACGTACTTCAAAGGGCAAGCAAAATGAAGCCAAGTAGCCCCCAAAGCTGTGCGAGCCCCCCGGTCCCTCTCCCCGTCGGGGTTTTCGGTAGAGAGACGAGCTCTGCTCTCGGCACGGCTCCGGCAGTGCCGCAGCCTTGGAGGGGGCTCCCTGCACCCAGCAGCTCTACTGCTTCATTCAAAGTGCAGCTTAACGGCCCCCGAATCCCCAGCATAAACCAAACAAGACAAAACACAGCTTTCTACTGAAGTGAACGAGACAGAAAGCCAGCCATTGAGTGTGAGGAACAGGTATTGCGTTCCCATTCCTCTACACTTAACAGAAACGTTTTCATCCAGATACTGCCCAGTTTCACGCACACCTTTGGCCAGGCATTTCCAGCTGAAGGTTTAAGGACGTGGCCAATTTTCCCAGAAGAGCCGCTACATTTTCAGCAACCTCGCGCACACGCGCGGGACGTCGGCTTGCCTGCCAGTCAGACCGACGCAACGGGGAAGAGACACTGCAGCCTCACGGACCAGCCTGCACGGGATGGGGAGTTCGTCTTAGCAGGGCTGGGGGGGTAATTCTGAAAAAAACCACAGCTGCAGAGGACAGTTCAGGTTTGGGCTGAGATGGCTCAGGGAACAGGCAAGGCACTCGTACACTTTCGCACATGCACCAGTTTTTCATGAAGATGTCTGAGAACAGTTTGGTCCATCTCCAGTCACTTCTGACTTGCTGGAAATAGGCTACGAGATGAGCCGTTGCCATCCCGGCGGGTCACCGGCAACTGCCCTACACAGTCCGGTGCCACCTGGCTTCGCGAGGGGCACTTCACGCGAGCACTTCCAGGAGAGAGGATGGACTTTGCCTCGCCTCTGCCCTTGCACAGGACATAACTCCAGCAGGCCCACTGCAGAGCTCGTTAAATGCATTCTGCAATTCCGTCAGGAGCTGTCTTGTTTTCATGTTACGCTTGAGCCTCCTTCCAGTTTTATGAGGGAAAGTTTGCTTCATTAAAAAAAGGTTGTCGTGTGCCCTCAGCCTGAGGCCCATCGCATGTTACTGCCAGACAGCTTGTTTTGCAGACCAGCCTGTTGGGACTGATTTTGGGGAAGTGTGTATGTATCTATACAAAGTGTTTGGTTGCTCTGTTGTGGGAAGTGAGTTTTGCTAGGGGCAACACCCCTAATAAACTAGCAGCTGCACAACTTCATCTGTCCACTCCATGGGGCTGCAGATCTGCTTCAGCAGAGATACGGAGACCAGATCTTGGAGGAAAACCATTGGCCGATGCTTCCAGTGATCCTATAAGCCAGTTTATTTGGAGATAACAACATTCTGCCCAAGTAAGGAGCTACTCTACCAGCGAACCCTTCATACAGCAGCTTCCCTTCTCGTCTCTACAGCTTCAAGGGAGATTTTCTATAGGGGTGTGTGGAAGGAGCCGCTGCCTATCCCACTCTCCTTTGTCCCTCAAAATGAGTCCAGTGCGTGTCCTGCCTTTCGAACCTCTTATTTTCCTTTCTTGGTCAGCTACAGTTACAGAGGAGTGACATGGCTATACCCCGCAGCCACATCATATAATCCTCTTCACAAGCTTGCTGACCCGTTCTGCCACCAGCCCTGCCACGTACTGCGACCAGCAGCTCGGCAGCCTCATGGCCATGGATCAGCAGCTGGCTCCTCATCCACTGGGGATAGCTAAGAGTTTACAGCAAGCCTCGACCAGCGAAGCCTGCATTTATTCAGATGTCAGCCTAGGTTCACACAAAGGGGAACCATCCCAAAGCCAACGGCTTGGCATCCCGTTCACGCAAACTCCTGTGTTGGGCTAGTGCACATCCCTATGCAAAATCACATCATAGGGCTCACGCTACCCCAACTCTACTCTACAAACCAGGTGTAGCAAACAGCAGCTCTGCAAGCAGTTGGCCAATGCCTCCAGCTATGCCCTGCACTATTAATACACAACAGGAATATTACTGCTGTTTACAGTAAAGAAGTATTCTTTAACCCAGCCTGTAGAGGATTGTAACGGCACCACCTCCAGGCTCTTTTGTAACTGTTGGTTTGTATTTCAAGGAGTTATTTACATGCAGGTTCAGGAACACAGGTACAGCCATTCACACGTGGAAGAGTTACCTGCAATAGCTGCACCACCTCAAACCAAACAATTTTTTAGCATACTGGAAAAATAGCTTTGCAGTTGATATTACCAAGTGATGTTTCTGGTGAAAGGCTATGTGCACTTCTCATTTGCATGCAATGAAGTAAGCAAGCAGGTAGCCATGCTGAAAGTTGAGCACATTTTCAAATGTTTTGCATGATCAAGGCCTGCAACGTACACCGTCTATGCCTGTTTACGGCACCCAGACACTCGGGTGCTCCAAAAATGCCATTCGCTGGCTGGTTTCCTGTGCTGCAAAATCATGAAGCCGTATAGACCGATTAAACTCTTACATGCAGAGCAACAGCACGTAACCTCTATAAAGCAGGGAATATGCAGAAGGTGTCTGATGCAATTTGACGCCTTTTATTTATAATCTGTTTCAGCGCCAGCAAATGCTGACTGATTAGCTGTTACCTAGCCAATTATTTAGCGACTCTGGAAACGCGTTTAGTGAGGAGTGGCGCCAGTCACACTAGTAGCCTGCCACGTGGAAATCTAGGTGAGCAACTGTCAAAACCAACGCTAAGTATTCACTTTGAAGCAGGTTTTAACAGCAGTCTGCTTCTGCTTCTGCCTTTTTAAAGCTACTTACTCGCTTTCTTCTGCAAGTCTCGGCGTGCGGTGCCTTTGAGCAGGGGGTGGGATGGGGGCCAGGGGAGTTAAGCCCTCGCAGCAAGCACCCACAATTGGTCGGTGGGAGAGGAGTGCTGGGAAAACAATTTTATCTGCTGCATGTTTAACTTTACTTATCTGAAGCTGAAAGCAAACTCTAGGCTTTCCCCATCTGTCAATAGAGCTTCATATGGAAAGAACAACATAGGAGAACTCGGTGCCAACCCAGAAGGTCAGAGGATATATTATGTTTAATTAGATTAAACAAAAGGTGACTGATGAGCTCAGTGTTCGCTGTACGTTTTCCCTATAGCAGATGGCTTTCCTTTAATGTCTGCTTTAAGGAGACGGGCCTTTCTGAGACTGCCTGTCCCCTCCCTTTCCCAGCGTGGACTTTGATGGAATTTTATTGGTATTTTTGCCTGTGCAAGGAGCTGGGGGGGGGGAGTGCTTTTCCCTTTCCATGCATTGAGCCA